AATAATAATGACACCAGGGGGGACCCAATAATAATGACACCAGGGGGGACCCAATAATAATGACACCAGGGGGGACCCAATAATAATGACACTAGAGGGGACCCAATAATAATGACACTAGGGGGGACCCAATAATAATGACACTAGGGGGGACCCAATAATAATGACACTAGGGGGGACCCAATAATAATGACACCAGGGGAGACACAATAATAATGACACCAGGGGGGACTAAATAATAATGACAATAGTAATAATGACTCCAGGGGACATAATAATAATGATACCAGGGGACATAATAACAATAACACCAGGGGGCATCATAATAATAATAATAACATAATAATATGATGAAACCAGGGGACATGCTCAGGTGTCATTATTATTATTATTTTGCCCATTATGCAATAGCCCAGCAGTGCCACACCTCAACGGACCACCCCCATCACCCGCCCTCCAGGATAGAAGCCCAACCCAGCAGCCATGTTAACTCACCGTGGACAGGGGGAGGATGAGTCTGCAGCCATGGAGGGAGGAGATCGGGACCGTGCAGCAGTGCGTGCAAAAGCAATCCTTCCTCCTCTGCTGAGTGGAAGGTGGTAACCCAGGCTGCAGAGATTGTTGATGCACATAGAGACAGGAGGCTGCTGCCCCCTAGCGTCAGGATGGGGAAGTGCAGCAGAGGCAGCTGGTCCAGAAACTGCTTCAGCGCTAGTTTATGGGGTACAGGGCCCCACAACAATGACTGGGCTCGATGCACATGCCCCTTTTGCCCTGCCTTAAAGACGGCCCTGATATCCACAGACATAGAGATGTCAGTCATTTGTATTTTAGCTGTATCAGGCCAAGTCTATGGGTGCCCACAGATTCTACCAGGTAATGTCACTGGAGAAAATGAGGATCAGTTTAGAAAACATTACTGTATGTAAAGCGACACTGAACTCAGGAGTTAAATCTTAAAAATACTTTCTACTGCTTTTGTTCCCCATGGTCCCTGTATGTGTTGTAAAGCAGCCACGCCGCTCCAAGCTCGCTCCTGTGATAGATTACAGTCTCACATATAATTTATTAATTTTTATTGAGATTGAAGCCCATCACAGTAGTGAGCTTGGAGCAGTGACTACTTTACAACACACACAGGGACCATGGGGAACAAAAGTAGTCACTCTCCAGAAGGAAGGACAGTGTCAGCACCAATTCAGAGATGATTGTAGGATCCAAAGCTGAGTAATACACCAATAACATACAGGTGAAACTCGAATAATTAGAATATCGTGCAAAAGTAATTGCAGTAAGTTCTGCAAAAGGGGCCCAAACCAAGTACTGAGTACATATGCATGCTTGTACTTTTCAGAGGTCCGATATTGTTCTATGTACAATCCTTGTTTTATTGATTGCATGTAATAATCTTCTTTTTTGAGGTTGTGGATTTGGGGTTCTTGGGGTTTTCATGAGCTGTAAGCTATAGATACCTTATGATGATCTTCTCAGGCCTACACACCTGACTGCCCTCAAACGTTTAGACGGATTACTTGTTGCTGAAGGTGCTGCTATAGTTATTTAAAGAAAGATACTGCTGGGCACCAAGTAACAAGCAGTCCTCAGCATAGCTTATTTCCAGTAATGGTTCCGTCATCACGCAGTTGTCAGATCACTGTAAAATTGGGATGCAGAGACATTTCGGCTGCAAAAACATATCGCACGAATGGCACTTTTGGCAAAGTGACGAAAGTGCCATCTTTTGGACGAAATTGTGGTGCATGCCTGGTTTTCTCTTCTCCCCACTGGGCGCTGCACTGTGTTCCCTCTGACACAGCGCCGCGTCCAGCAGGGAGGAGAAATACTGTTACAGGAGGCCGAGCGGTGCGCTGTGAACACCCGGCGTGTCACAAGAGGCCGGGCTCTCCTCCTACACTGCCCCGCTCAGCCTCCTGTGACAGATCAGGAGAGCGGTGTGGGGGCGGAAACAGCTGTCAGCTGTCACAGGAGGCTGGGCCGGTAGTGCAGGGGAGGAGTCAGCTGTCACAGGAGACCAAGCTTTCCTCCCCGCACTGCACGATGAGCCTCCTGTGACATCGATTTAGGATGGAGAGTGGGTACAAGCAGTCAGTGATCACCGAGTGTTTGTAAATAATTGAGGACATAGTATGTTTACTGTGTCCCCAATTATGAATGAATGGGATGTGATCTACATCACTTCCTGTTCATTCATGATTGTGGACATGGTACACATACTATCTCCACAAGTTATGAATGAACAGGAACACTCAGAACTCCTGTTCATTCATAACAGGGGTTACAGAAAAAGAGATTGAGGACTCTGTTTCCACAATCTCTTTTTCTATTTTAAAAGGGAAATATCAGGGGTCTGTTTAGACCCCTGATATTTCACGGAAGCCCCCAACAGTAAAGTTAAAAAAAATTAATAAAAAATAAACAAATAATTAAAAATAAAATATAAAAAAATAAAAAGTTTATAAAAAAAAATATTGAAAAAAATTTGAAAACGTTAGAAAAAAACATTTTCGATTTTGGTCTGACATTTTTTTAAATTTTTGGTTTTAGAAATCTCATTTCGGTGCACCTCTACTGTAAAAAGTAATGAGCTTAGATCAGTAATTCAATGAACAATCAATTTGTTGTGTGTGAGAAAGAAAAATGTTATATTTTTCACAGAAACCCTTGTTAACAAATAGACACATAGGCATTTACTAATAATAGTTCCATTCCCAAGAATATACAGTGAGCAAACAAATGCAGCTTTCAAGAGGTAGCTGTCACACTATACATAATTAGTAATATTCATCCTTCTGACTTGTCCATTTTCTTTAAAAGGTCCCTATGACACAAGGTTGTTTAGCAGTGTTCCTGTCAACCATCACAGTCAACAATAAAAAATAAATAAGGCACAGCACCTTAGCTGTCAAGAAAAGGAACATGTCCAAAAGATCTTAAATAAAAATACAGCAGGAAACATAAAACAAATCTACATCTGGTTACATTGTAGTTTTCCAGCTCAGATTATCTTAAGTTTCTGTTTTGTTCATAATAAAATGTTCCAGTTACATTCTTTTTTTCTTTCCTTTCTGATTTGGTTGTCAAGCATATCTGTGCTATACATTTGCCTAGCAAACTGTTTTACAAGGTACACTAAGATTTTTACAGCCAGAGCTCTAGACATAAGCATTTTGTTTGGAATAAACACTGACAGCAGCAGAAAATAATGAATTTTGTGTACCTGCAGCAGATGACAGCCTTACAGGAAAGTGCCAAATCCAGGAAGCACTGCCGGACTTCAAACGAGAGAGCGTACTTTAGGGTCTGTCCATCAATGATAAGAGCCAGGTCATTTTCCTTTCCAAGTGAATCTCCTAGGTTATTACAGTGGTTTGTTAACGTTTCTCTTGTTGCCTATAAAGAAATTCAGAATGTAATGTAAATGGAATTACATGGAATTGATTTTGATAGAGTCAACCTAAAATACCTGTTCCAAAAATGTTAAAAAAAAACTAATTAAAAAGTAATTTTTTCTTTACCTATCGATTTATCTTGTAATCTCAAACAGTTAAAGTATAAAAATGCACTTCTGTATAGGGCTCAAGGTTTTCTACTAAAACTCATTTTGGAAGAGACCCACAGTAGCTAGACAGTTTGAGATCACAAACAATACTGTCTAGTCTCTTCTTTGTTACCTGCCTATCATTTGTGGACACACTTTCCACAATTCAGTTCCTCTTTAACACCTTTATGACATATTAACTAAAGTTTGAGTTGTGTTATCTTCATAATGTAAGCTTTAGCTGTTAGTTTGGAGTGGTGCAGGAACACTGACACATATGAAGGGTTGCATTAACATAAACAGTCCTAAAACTCATCACCTGTACAGCTGCCCCAGAGTTGTAAGTGGTTCTTAATATTTAAAGTCAAGTAGATCTGACTTGAATGCAGATGGATAGACAGACAGACACATAACTACACTGTTGTTTGTTGTTTTTGACCTGAGTGATTTTCTGCCATTTCCTGTTATAACAAGTCTAGACCATAATCATTCCTTCAACATTTCAACCTTCAAAATCCACAATTCCGTGAGCCTGAGTGATAAAGTTTCACATTCACTTGCTTTCTTTTGATCACTTGAAAATGCTCAGTGCTAATTTTGTTCTCTGTGTTTTCCTTGCACTGGGGAAACGTCGAAATTTCCATGCTCTGTGTAAACAGTTTAATTTTGCGAAGCGGCCTATGTTACGCCACTGTAGCACACTGTTGTAAATCCGCGTAAAAGAGCATAATTTGTTGACAGGCAAAGTACTAGAATATCCTGGAGGAAAGATCCTGTGTGGTCCCAGCTGTGCAGTCAATCTTGGAAATCAAATAACCACATTTCAAAGATTTATCTAGTACTCAGAGACCCCTTGTAAGATGTAACAGTTCTATCATGAACATGTTTGCACATTACTGATAGAAAAACTGTCAAGGGTCACTAAAAACTGGGTTACGTAAAATAATGTGTTCTTAAATTATTAGAAAACACGTCAAAAGTTCTGGATCTTATCACAAACAATCGTCCGAGCATGGAAGTGGCCCAGAGAGGAGTAGTGTTGTCCAACACACAGTCACATCCTGTCCAGTAACCCTATAGAAAAACGTTTCAGCCCCTTTAGCCTTAAAGAGTAAGCAGCACGACAAAATACATTTTTTTGGTGACTATGATTGCTTTTTTTTTTTACATAATATTTTTAACATTATTTTGGCTCCTTAAAGGAGTGAATGTGACAGTCAACATATATTCACTGCACTTGAATTTTCCTGGTGCATGTGTTTAAAATGACAGGGAATGATAAACCACATGGTGATGTTTGGTGAATGTCATATTCACTGCTTTAAAAAAAACATATTAAATGTTAATGTTTATTTCTTGTTGCTGATTATTATCAGCATCACTTCTGAGAGTAAACACAGCCTTTAGACAAAAGTTGCAAACATCATATCTGTGAGTGGCCTCTATGCTTGGCAGCTTTGGGGGGAAAACAGCAAGTGGAAAGGTTAAACATTTATTTAATTAATAGCTATTCTTCCCCATACAAGCTGGATCAAGCTTCCTGATCTCCACTCTGCCCCCCATAATCATTGAAACTGCAAGTGAATTTGGCCACAGATTTGTCAGGAGGACAGGATATGAAAGATTCTGAAGCTATGCTGTGCAGTGCCATCCAGGTAATACAGTAAAGATCTTGAAGAGGTATTAAAAGTGACTCTGTTGCTAAAAAGAAAATGCTTGAAAAAGTGGCCCCTGCAAGGTGTTTGATACTCACCTCTCCTGCTGGTCGCGCCAACGATTGATGCTCTATTACGGAGAAATCATCCCTTCTGAATCTTCTAAATCCGATACTTCCTAGGGTGATTCCTAGTCTCATGCCACATGCTGCAGTTTCTCCCACTGGCCCCAAGTCGCAGTAGTAACATAGGGGGTGACGGAGAAACCACAGAGAGCGGCAGGGGAACAGGAATCTGGCACACCTGGAAGTGTTGGATTCAAAAGAATCTTCCATGGCTGCATCTCCACAATACAGCAGGGATAGTGACACGGGCAGCAGGAGGGGTGAGTATTAAACTTCTTTTTTTTGCAACGTTCTGATACTTTTCACTTTAAAGTTATAACCATTACCTATTATTCTTATCTTACATATACGAATATTGCTAACGAAGCTTGAATACAGTTCTAATCTTAAAACAAAAAAAATACTTTTAACCTTTGCCCCATCTATCCAAACCCATCCAGAAATGTGCTCCATTTTAGACCAAAACATTTCAGGTTTCCCAAATTCCAATCAGAGAACACATTGTAAAATAGGGATAATTTAATAAAATATGAGATTGCTTACAATCTGTGAAGATATGGGACTTTTCAAATAAAGAAGTATTATTAATTATTATTCAAAACATAAATCTAATTTTTTAGGTATTCTGTTCACTATCCCTAACAATATTGCATTCTAACAACTGTATACAGTTAAAACATGTAATGATAGATAAAATAGATACAGGGAGGACAATTTCCCCCTGAGACAGTTGTCACTGGAATAGGTGTCCCATTGGAAGATTTCCACTTAACATCTGTACCAGTGATAACTATAACATTTTGGAATCACTGTAATTTTCTATCCTGAAGACAATGGTCACCAGTACAAATAGAAAGGATGGATCTCCCCAGTGTGGACAGAGATTTAATAAAAACATGAAGAAATCTATCATTTCTGATGTTACAATAGATTAGTGGGCATTCTATTGTGCTATCGGGTGTCTGCATTTTTCAACAATGCAGACCGGCAGCATTGCAATGTGAACTGGGTGTATAGAAAACAGTTGTTTGCTATGTGCCCTAGCAGTGACTGGTGTTGGTCAATTGAAGAAAAACATCAGTTACTGCATATAGTGTGAAGGTGCTCTTACATACAGAGCTCTAAATGATATTTCTCCTATTATGTAATATATACGTTTTTGTATTAAGTTTAGAGGTTCTTTAAAGAGTAGCAGGGTTTGGGAAAGGCAGGAGGAGTGAACCCAGATAGCAAGGATAACTTGCCACAAACTTGTGGCAGGGTTAAATTTTAATTCTTGTTTACTTGCTGCACACATTCCTGGAAAGTTGTAGCCTTGCAGAACACTTGCAGCACAAGTTCTGGTTGACACTTTTTGAATTTGTAGCAAATTTGCTTGGCAAGTCTACAGCAAGAGTCCTGCAGGTCTTAGCAAGAGCTCTGCAAGTGTGCAGCACTTTTGCAAGGCACGTTGATCTGGAGACTTGCAATGCCGACTTGCTGTAATTGTGCAACACAATTGTGGAACTTGGGAAGTCTAGCAATAGTTTAGCAAGTCATTTTCAAACTTGCAGCTCAATTGCATGCTATCTGGGAACAATCCTACGACAAAATAGCTGATTTGGAAACATTCTCCAATTCAGCTCACTTTCCAGTTCAGTTATGTTGTCCTAGATTGTTCCCTTCTCCTGCCTTCTCCAAACTCTTCACCCTTTTGTGAATAGACCGGTTAAATAATGACCTGACACATACATCTAATTTTTACTTAGAAAAACATAACATCAAGCCTAATTTCCCCAGTTTACTGGAATTGTGGAAAGATCACGAGGTTACTGTAAATTAGTCATCATGCAGAGTGAGAATTAAAGGCCAGAAATCTGATGGCAATTAGCCGTGCTTTGAAGCTAAAATGTTACACCGAGGTACTACCACTGACATGTATTAGCAGCCTTGTTAAAGAAGAACTCTGCTAAGCATTATGCATCCAGATGACTACATAACATATGCATGCAATTACAGGAAAGCAACAACCATTTCTGTGAAGTAGGATCCATAGGGCCCTAACCAAGATATGCATGGCAAAATTAAAGAAAAAAATAGAACTCTTTTGAACAACTAGCAGCTTTCCTTTCTGTGCCTTATGTAGTACAATGGTGTTGTTGGGCACAAACAAGGGCTTCAATAACTCCCAATGTAACTACAGTATTTGCATATAATCTGGTCAAACTAAATCCCCCCGATGCAATAAAAAAACAACCTTTTTGGTTTGGAAATGCCAGTACTGCTGATCTCCTGTGGCCTTTTTCAGACACTTCTAGTCTAAAAGCACTCACTCGAACATCAGCTTCACATTATTGCTCAGGAATGGATTCATGATTGTGACAACAGTGGAACATAGCTGGGCAATTTGTGTTGATACAGCCTGTTGTAGTCTGAACCAGGGGCACATCTGACAGGGTGACAATTTCAAAACTATTTCCAAACTTTTAAAATTACATTAACATGATAAAATGTATTTGAGATTTATATTAGTGCAAGATCCGCTTTAAGGTCAGGTTTACACCATTTTCCAGACCAGATCTGGAAAGCAGTGCATTGTGTTTTGCAGCATTTTGGCAGCGTTCTGGATCGGGTTTTTTGCTTCAAATGGACTTTCAGGTGCGTTCCATTGCGTTTGCATGCATTTCCATGCGTTCCAGTGCATTCCAGACCTGACAAAATAAGACAAGCAGTATTTTTCTGGTCTGGTCTGGAACGGACTGAGCTGCTGTGGACAGAGGCCAGAAATAGCATAGGGATGCATCAGGATGCATTTGGGGTCCGGAAACAATCTGGTCTGGTCTGGAGATGATCTGGATGTGGTGTGAATGGGCCCTAAAATAAGACTGATGGGTTCAATTTACTAAAGACAAAAAGGCTGTTCAATAGGGAATTTTCACATTGCAAGGGAATTTCTCACTTTCCTCATGTGCAATCAAAAATCCTGTTTTTTTTGTTGTTGTTGTTTTAAATTTCCTTGCATGTGTCTGGGTATTCTTTGCAAAAGCTATGGGGAAATTTTCTTGCAAAGTGAACAGCTTATTTGTATCTAGT